ATATAGTTCTGTATACTCTCGTGCTGTCACGTACCCGTGTTTGACTATAAATTCCGTGCACCATTTTTTATAGGGATAATACGCATATGGCACGGCTCAGAATGAACGTTTCCCCATTTCTGAAGGTGATATGTGCGCATGTTCAATTCATAAGCATTTACCAAAAAATAAGTCGATTCAATTATTAACCAAACAGCAAAACAACCCATCAGAAGATTAATAAATCATATAATCCAATTAACAAGTTGGTAATAAAATTTGGGTGAGTGATGTAACTGTTGTTTGGGGAGAGCTTAAGAAAATAAATGCCAATTTAACTCCAACAGTGTACGGGGAGATATAGATAATTGGAAGAAGCGAAGAGAGTCTTTTATAATTATAAAAGGGCTAAATGGGCAATAGGACGTTATAACGAATGCTTTAATATTAATAGAGATGATGAGAATGATCAAGTGATAACGGCGATAACTTTAAGTTCACGTGATAAATTAACGAAGTCAAATAACCAATCGTTAGGTGTTGTTCCCTACTACAATTCTCGCAAGCCACTATCGTGAATGACAATATTTGATTCCTCAAATGGTTCAGAATCCGAGTCTTAATAAGCCGAATCGAAGTTACAAGTCAATTCAGTCCGTCGAATTGAGTCTCGAAAGGGTTTATTAAAGCTACAAGTCGAATTCAAAATACAATACACAAGGAATATTCATATAAGTATATACTTTATTCAAACGAAAACGAAATAACTATTTTAAGGATGGAATGGTATTCTTTGTTAATCATAAAATAGAATTGAAAAATTCTAATCTCCATTGCCTTGAACTTTAGGCCTTTAAATACATTTCAATTTTGGTTACGTTTACACACCGTTCGCTACGTCTACACTACTTTCGCTACGTCTACGCAACCATGGCTACGTTTACACACCTATTTTCTAAGTTACTTCCTTGTGACTATTCAAGTGGATGATTATAACAAGTCCAAACAGCTACGTTTACACCACGGACACATTTACTTAGCTATGGGACGTTCACTCCCCCATTTCCTAAGCTTTTTCCTTATGACTATGCAAGTGGCCTATTGTAACAGGTTAAAACGTCTACGTCTACGTATCCACTGTCACATTTTATGTGCCTTGGGTAACATTCATATGATTAAGCCACCAAGTCAACCATCATTACTGTTTTAAAATAGATGGGGAATTACTAATAAACTATATACATGTGGATGTTTTACTAATAAACTATATACATGTGGATGTTTTACTGAGAAAAATATAAGTTTAGAACAAAAATAAAGAAACTAAAATTTTAATTTGTTACAGTAATCCAGAGATCAATTTTGTGACATGTTAATTTATTTTAAATAGCAACGCTGTATTTACTGTTTATTTAATTTCTATTGTTTTTTTTTTGTATTTATTCGTCAATCTTTAGCTCATTTCTCATTTAATTTTTGTCCATCCAAGTTAATTTATGATATTAGTAGTTTTTTCTTAAATTGATTTACCGAACGACTTGATTGGCTACAGTACAAACAATTAGCCGTTAAAAAAACCTGAAGCTACAATAGTACTGTAATTGTAATCATTAATTAGTAAATTTGGCCATAACTCTACAGAACACTGATCTTACTAGGGATGCTAAAAGTCTGGTTTGGTCCAGTTTCTGAAAAGTCCGATTCTGAACTAGTTAGGAACTAGTCTGTATCTTCTGCATAAACCGGTCCAATCTAAGTCTTTGTAATAGTTTTACAAATATCTAATAAAGATCTGAGGCAAGATCTCACATTTTTTTTAAAAAAAAACAGTTGCATTACTCATTCAGTTTCTTATTATCAGTCAACCGATTTGTTACACATATTTGTATATAAATTTTATATATATAAAATTGGATAAATCTAGACAATGCCCTATGCATTTTGTGCCTCTAAATGATTATCAATTTCATGTAACAAACAATTTATTAAAACAAAAATTATAATCTTTTAATAATTAAATAAAGACAGTTAGGGTTAGACATAGTATATAGTAAAATTTGCAAAGATTTTTTTTTGTTAGAGCCCCAAAGGAGGTTTTATAATCAAAATTTTGAGATATGATTAGTTTTTTAAAAAATTCTTTGTTTTTGTTGTACAAAATTGTTATGCATGATTGTTTTTGTTACACAAAATTGATTTACATGTTACATGTGAACTTGCAATTTTATTGGTTAATCAAGGGGGCACAAAGTGCATGGGTACTGTTTAGTTATATCCTATAAAATTATAGCAAAAATATATAAAATTACTTATAAACTTAAAGCTATAATGTTTTTTTCTTACATATTAATTTTAAATTAAATTTTATGAATAAATACATCAAAACAAGAAAAATAAAATACTTTCTAAGCCAAATTAAAATTTTGTAATTTTGATACAATTTGAAAATATAACTCTGTAAAAAGAAAAATTTAGTAGTTTTAAAGCAATAATTATATATAAAATTATACTCTGAGCAATTTCAGCTAGAGAATAAAAAGGTTATCTTAGTAAAAAAAGTTTTTTATATACTAATATTAAAATTTTCAGTTTGTTTATATAAAACCTTTTCTACTTAGATAACTTGTTTTGACTTTTAAGCAAATTTGTTTAGCATATAATTCTACATACTTTATATCTTGCCAATTTTGTTTTTACAAACTTTTTACTAAGTGAAAGATTTGATCAAAGGTTATATAAAAAATTTTTTAAAAATTTTTTAAAAACATTTTTATATAATTTTTGATTCAATTTTTCATATAGTAAAAGTTTGTAAAAACAAAATTAGTAAAATATAAAGTATATAGAATTATATATTAAATGAATATACTTAAAAGTCAGAACAGGTTATCTAAGTAGATAAAAGTTTTATATAAAACAATTGAAAATTTTAATATTAGTATATTAGAAAACTTTTTTTTACTAAAATAATCTTTTTATATTCTAATTGGTTATTTAGAATATAATTTTATATATAATTATTGTTTTAAAACTATTAAATATATTTTTTTAACTAGAGTTTAAGCCTATGCTTATTTATTAAGCACTTAAACCCCTACAGACAAGATCAATAGTTTAGTCAAGCTGGTAGCAAATTTTTGAATTTGTTGCTATAATCTTATAAAGATACAATTGAATATGAAGCCCTGTAGAAAGTTCAAATACAAGTATAGTTCTAAAATAAGAATTTCTAGAAGAAGCCCCAATTATAAAGTGTAAACACTATATGTAATAAAAATATTATAGAAGGTTTAGATTGTAGAAAATTATGTGAATAAGTCCTCTGATTAGAGTAACTCAGAGGCAATATTACTATTCTATCATCTCTGTATTTGCAATACTAAAATCTCTATACTCAACTTGTGGGGTACTTGCTTAAAAAAATGATCAACAGATTGTATATATAAGTTTTAATATAGAATGGTGTTAAGTATTTGCTTGGAAGGATAATACAATATTACCAAAACTAAAATAATAAGAAAAACAGTAAATATGTAAAAGAGTTATAATAAAGGATTAGTTTTATCTAAATTAAAAGCATCTCTGGTACTATAAAATAGTTAACTAATAAAATAATTTCATAGAGACAGGCTAGCTAATTTAGTATATTTAAAGGCATCAAGTTGGAGCTCAGAGAGTTAGATATTCATGAAAAATGAAGAAATACAAACTAGTTCAAGTTAGTACAAACCTAAAATAAATTCTAATCTGTTAATAAAATACCAACTTGGTCATGTGGTAAATCTAACTAGATAGCAAGTTTTTGACTTGAGATATGAGTTATAGAAAAGCTATCTGTACTAATTATAGTTATACTAATAAGATCAGTAAATAGATTTGTAGTGAATTATATTTGCAAATATATCTTTTTTTTTTTTTTTTTTTTTTTTTTAGTTATTAAAGCCGATGTTATGGAGCTTACTGCCTTTATTTGTGTTTTTAGTTAATGCATTACATATAACTTGTACAAGGTGAGTGT